TTCATAAAATGATTTGGGGAGGGCTCCATCTTTCTCAATCTGCTGAAATACCTTCAGTAGGATTGGAATCAGCTCCTCCTTAAATGTCTTATAGAATTCTGCTGGAAAACCATCTGGTCCAGGGCTTTTTTTTGTAGGTAGTTTTCTTATTACATAGTTAATTTCCTTGATTGCTATTAGTCTATTAAGGGTCTCAATTTCTTCTAGTTTCAACCTAGGCAGCTTGTGTTATGACAGAAAGTCCTCCATTTCCTTGAGGTTTTCAAGTTTGTTTCCATACAAGTGTACATAGTAGTCTCGATGATCTTTCGTATTTCTTCAGGGTCAGATGTGACTTCATCTTTTGTGTTCTGATTGTGCTTATTTGGGTTTTTTCTTGGTCAGTCTAGCTAGGGGACCATCGATCTTGTTTATCTTTTTGAAAAACCAGCTTTTTGTTTCATTGATTTTTTGTATTGTCTTTTGTCTTCTATGTCCTGGATTTGGGCTTTTATTTTGGTGATCTGGATTCTTCTGCTGAAATTAGGGTTTTTGTGGTCTTGCTTTTCCAGCTTTTTTAGGTGTCTTGATAGGCTGTTAATTTGTGCTCCTCCCGTTTTCTTCATGTGCATCTGTAGGTATATAAACTCCCCTCTTACTATAGCTTTCATGGCATCCCAGAGATTTTGGTAAGATGTTTCTTCATTTTCATTTGCTTCCAGGAATCTTTTGATCTCTGTTTTGATTTCATCATTGATCCAGGAGTTGTTTATCATCATACTGCTTAGTGTCCATGTGTCTGTGGGTTTTGGGGAATCTTGTTGGTGTTAATGTTTATTTTTATTCCACTGTGGTCTGAGAAGGTGCATGGTAAAATTTCAGTTCTTTTAAATTTGCTTATGCTTGATTTATAGCCAATTATGTGGCCGATCTTAGAATACATTCCATGCGGTGATGAGTAGAATGTGTATTCTGTGATCTTTGGTTGGAGTGTTCTGTAGGTATCAATTAAGTCCATTTGGTCAAGAGTCACATTGAGGTTCCAGATCTCATTGCTGATTTTTTGTCCTGATGATCTGTCTAGGGTTGTGAGTGGGGTATTAAAGTACCCAGTTATGATGGTGTTAGAGTCAATATCTTTCTTAAGTTTTCCTAGGAGTTGCTTTATAAAAGTTGGTGCACCTATGTTAGGTGCATATATGTTTAAGATAGATATTTCTTGTTGATGGAGTGAACCTTTTTTCATTATGTAGTGGCCCTCTGTATCTTTTAAAATTTTTGATAGCTTAAATGGTATTTTGTCTGAAATTAGGACTGCGACACCTCCTTTCTTTTGTGTTCCATTCACCTGAAAATTTGTTTCTCATCCTCTTACTTTGAGTCTGTGTATGTCCTTTCTAGTGAGATGTGTCTCCTGAAGGCAGTATATTGTTGCCTGGTGATATTTTATACATTGTGCCATTCTATGTCTTTTCAGTGGTGCATTTAGTCCATTCATGTTCAGGCTAATTATTGAAATGTGAGAGTTCATCCCTATCATAGAGGTCTTATAGAGTTGGTCTTCCACTTGGTTTATTGTCTTTCTTTTGGTTTTGGGGTTGGTTCATGTGTATTTTATTCTTTTTCCTGTATTCTTGTGAATGACATTGTTCTTTTTTCCCCCTTTTCTTCTTTTTTAGTACTTTTTTAAGTGTTTCATGTAGAGGTGGTTTGGTGACAGCATAAGTTCTTAGGGATTGGATATCTGGGAAAGATTTTAATTCTTCCTCGCAGATGAAGTTTAATCTGGCTGGGTAGATTATTCTTGGTTGAAAATGTTTCTTTTAGGACTTTGAAGATAGGGTTCCAAGCTCTCCTAGCCTGCAGGGTGTCTGTAGATAAATCTGCTGCTATTCTAATTGATTTTCCATGGTAGGTGATCTGGCCTTTTTCTCTTGCTGCCTTTAGGATTTTTTCTTTTATGCCTACTTTGTGTAGGCAAATTATTATGTGTCTAGGAGTTGGTCTTCTCATTTGCTGTCTTGCAGGGGTTCTCTGAATCTCTTGTGTTTGAATTGTTGCATCATTTTTTAGATAAGGGAAGTTTTCTTGAATGATCTTATGGAAGGTTTGTTCCAGTGTGGTCTCTGTCTCTCTTTCTGCCTCAGGAAGGCCAATTACTCTTAGGTTCGGTCTCTTGAAGTAATCGCTCATCTCTTGAAGGTTTGTTTTTTGTCTTTTTGAGCTTGTTTTCTGTGTTTTTAAGAGTTTGGGTTAGTTCTATATTTTGGTCCTCAAGCTCTGAGATTCTTTCTTCTGCTTGGGTAATTCTGCTTTCCATGTTTATCAGTTTGTTATTTATTTCATTCACAGCAGTCTTTATTACTGTTATCTCAGGTATCATCTCCTTTCTAGTTTCTTCTTGACTCTCCTCAATTCTTTTTAATTTCTCCATTAGTGTCTTGATATCTAGATTTGTAGTTTGAGACCTATCATTCTGGGGCCTCTTCATTGTTTGCATGCTGAAGTCAGTTTTCTCAGTGTCTGCCCTTCCAGGGGTCTGAGAGAGACTCATATTCTTCTTTTGGTTTTTCTTCATTTGTGTAGATTTTTCTCTCTTCCCCTTTCCCTCCCCTTCTTTAATTCTGTTTTTCAGGGAAGGTGTGATTACTTTTTTTCACTTGTATAATCTCCTGTTCTTCCTTATGAGGTTCCTCTGTCTTTGTTCACTTTTGAGGTTGGAGTGTGGGCTGTGGGCTGTACTTTTCACAGTTTTGAGGTTTAATTGAGGGGGAAACTGTGATTCATAATCTATATGCTGATTATAGCATCCACCAACAGGTTATGTGCACACTGGAACCTATTTCCTACTGCCTTACAATCTGTCTGTGCAGTGGGGTATAGCTTGGGTCCCTGGAGCAAAAAGGAGGTATAAAAGAGGAAAATAATGGAGGAAGTGGAGGTCAATAGGAAGTTAGAAAGAGAGAGGAATGAGAGGGAAAACCGTCCTACATACCAACTCACAGGTGAAAAAGAGACACAAGGCTGAGAGAAGTGAAAAAAAAATCACAGAAGGAAAGGTCTTTAAAGAATATTGGTAGCTACACAGAGACAGACCAATAAGATCATGAAACAGATAGTGTAAGTTAGAAAACAAACAATAGTGAGCAAAACATACGGTCAGAATGATAAAATGAAAGGTCAAAATAAGAGATCAGACTAGTTCTGTTATCTTTCCTTAATGTCTAAAGTCACTTGAGCTCTGATCTCCAGTCTTTCCCCTTTGTTTTTGTTGCAGGCAGGTAACCTGCTGCCTGGGAGTTCTGTGACTCTTAGTTGTCTCAGTCTGTTCAGTGTAGGGGAGGGGCTTTGTCTCTTGTTTAAGGACATCACCGTGGGAACTGAGGTGGAGGCTCTGATAGGTGGGCGGGGTGATGTAAATCTGCCTGGAGAATGGAGGAGGCGGTAGCTTCACTTTCACTTTTGTTCCTTCCTCTGGAGCTGGAAGCCCTGATCAGCACCTTACACAAGCTTGGGGTTCTGTTTCCCTTACACAGGCTTGAGGTCGTACACTGAGTGCCTCAGCCAGGGTGGGCCCAGGGCTCCAGAGCTCCAAAGCTCCAAAGGGCAGGTGGTGGCCCTGGGTCCCTCACAGGGCACTTCAGCCAGAAATGGGACTGGTATCTCTGAGGGGTGGGTGCCCAGAACCTCCCTGGGTGACTGGCAGTTTGGTGCTGGGTGCTGGGCAAGACGATGTAGACAAGGAGGGAGCTGAGACCTGGGACTCCTGAGCAGGTGGGAGTCACATATAGTGGAGCAGCTGCAGCCGGGGGCCGCAATATCTGGCCCTGCATGGGACTGAAGGTCCACAGGCCTCATACCAGTGCAGCTGGTGGTGGGCAGGGGGCTACAGGAAGAAAAGTAAGAGTCTTTTTGGGAACTTACATTCAGAGAGTCTCACAAATCCACCTATGCCATCGCTATCTTGAAATAAAAGCCTATAGTGTCTTTTTAAAAAATTGGAATTATCAGTATTACTTGCTAATATTTTATGAAAATGTTTTTTAATTATTTTCTCACCCTTTATTTTCCACATTAATGGTAGCTACGTATACCATTGTCTAAAGATAATTTTATATTTGGAATGTGTTTTCTCTCTACTAGATAAACTAAATCATCATGTGGTTAACATATTAGCACTGATCTTTGTGGAGAATCATACAGAAACAAATAATTTCTTACAATTACTTCTCTTTAGATAAGCCCCTGTGTTCCTAACCTGCAATTTCCTTTATTTTACCTCTCAGTCTAAGGGCTGTCAATAACTTCTTGATCTTTTCAATTCTGCTGCTTCTTCTATTTTTCTGGTTTTTTTTTTTTTTTTTCATTTTTTTCTTCTGCCTTTATATTCCTGTGTTACCTAACTTGAATAAATGGTGCTTAAGTTTCTCACCTGAAATCATAGCAAAAGATGGTTTCTTTTAAAACATTTATCTATAGATGATTTTTCTCTCAAATCCTCTCCTTGGAAACATAGACATTACTGGTGAATTTTTTTGTCACTTTTTTTTTTTGAGTCAGAGTCTCACTCTGTCACCCAGACTGGAGTGCAGTGGCACACTCATAGCCACCACTACCTCAACCTGCTGGACTCAGGCAATCTTTCCACCTCAGCCTTCCAAGTAGCCAGAACCACAGGCACACACCACCATGCCCTGCTACTTTTTTTCTTTATTGTAGAGATGAGTTCTCACCAAGTTGCCCAGGCTGATCTTAAATCTCTGGGCTCAGGCAATCCAAGTCCCAAAAGTGCTGGGATTACAAGCATGAACCAAGACGCCTGGCCTCATTTTTTTCCCTCACTATTTAATATTTAAATGGTATATTTTAGGCATAGGAAAGTTGATTTGGGATGGAAGAAACTTTAGGAATTGATCAATTCTATTGATTCATACTATTAAGTTTGAAGCTAATTTAAGTATAATTTAAAGTATAATTTTAACTTTAATGTGAGTAAAATCAACTGTTTTTTGTCCCCCTAGGAAAGAGATAGATAAACTTAACAGTCTATATAATCACTACCAGTCATTAATACAAAATGTTAATACTGATATCAAGGAGAAGAAAGAGCAAGTGACTGAAACAATAGAGGAAACAAAGTCATCAACAAGCGAATTATCTGTTTTATCAAAAATGGTGAGTTTTTCTTATTTAAAAATTAAAAGAATATCATTTTAGTTTTGAATAACAAGTACTCAAAATTTCTCTTTGTTAATAGTTAAATAGCATTTCTACAGTTTCATGCCTACATTAGTTTTGCATTGCTGCATAACAAAGGACCATCCAATGGTTTTTTTCTAGAGTAAGAGGATACACATGCATGTTTGTTATATAGACATTTGTGTAGTGGTGGGAACTGGGTCTCAGGTGGCCTATTCCCCAAATGGTGAATATTGTGGCCTGTAGGTAGTTTCTGAACCCAAACCCCCCTTTTTGCCTCCCCTTATTGGTGTCCATAGTGTCTATTATTTCCATTTTTGCAAATATTTAGCTCCTACATATGAGTGAGAACATGAGGTACTTGGTTTTTTGTTTCTGAGTCAGTTCACTTAGCATGATGATCTCTGGCTCCATTCATGTTACTGCAAATGACATGATTTCATTCCTTTTTTATGACTGTGTAGTATTCCATAGTGTATATATACCACATTTTCTTTATTCAGTCAACTGTTAGATTGGTTCCATTTTACTATTGTGAATAGTCCTGTAATGAACGTACAAGTATGGGTATCTTTTTAATATATCGATTTATTTTCCTTTGGGTAGATCATTGGTAGTAGGATTGTTGTGTCATATGGTAATTCAATTTTTAGTTATTTGAGAAATATCTAGACTCTTTTCCAAAGAGGTTGAACTAGTTTGCAATCCCTCCAACAGTGGATGAGTGCCTCCTTTTCTTTGCAACTGCACCAACGTCTGTTGTTCTTAGACTTTTTGATAATGGCCATTCTGACTGGTGTGAAGTGATATCTCATTCTGTTGTTAATTTGCAGTTCTCTGATGATTAGTGATATTGAGCATTTTTCATATATTCCTTGGCCGCTTGCGTGTCTTCTTTTGGGAAGTGTCCATTCATGCCCATTGCCCACTTTTTGATGGGGTTATTTGTTTGTGTGTGTGTGTTGAGTTGAGTTCCTTGTAGATTCTGAATATTAGCCCTTTGTCTGAGGTATAATTTGCAAATATTTCCTCCAATTCAGTAGGTTTTCTGTTCACTATGTTGATTATTTATTTTTCTGTGTAGGAGCTTTTCAGTTTAATTAAGTCTCATCTGTCTATTTTAGTTTTTGTTGCAATTGCTTTGGGGTCTTTGTTATAAATTCTTTGCCTAGTCCAATGTCCAGCAGAGTGTTTTCTAAATTTTCTTCTAGGATTTTTGTAGTTTCAGGTCTTACATCAAATCTTTGATCCATCTTGAGTTAATTTTTGTATATGATGAGAGAGATACGGGTCAAGCTTCATTCATCTGCATAGTGGTAGCCAATTTTCCCAGCACCATTTACTGAATAGGGTGTCCTTTCCCATTTTTTTTGTTGTTTATTTTTTGGCTTTGTCAAAGATAAGTTGGTTGTAGGATTGTGGTTTTATTTCTGAATTCTCTTTTCTGTTCCATTGGTCAATCTGCCTATTCTTATACCAGTACCATGCTGTTTTAGTTACTATAACCCTATTTGAAATCAGGACACGTGATGCCTCTATAGTTGTTCTTTTTGCTTAAAATTGCTTTGGTTATTTGGGCTCTTCATTGATTTTATATAAACTTTAGGATTTTTTTTTTCTATTTCTCTGAAGAAAAAATTTGGTATTTTGATTGAAATTACATTGAATCTGTAGATTGCTTTGAGGGATATGGTCATTTTTAACAAAATTGATTCTCCCAATCCGTGAACATGGGATGTTTTTCCTTTTGTTGTGCCATCCACAATTTCTTTCATCAGTGTTTTGTAGTTTTCCATTTAAAGTTTTTTTTTGTTTAAACTTAGATTTAGCAGCCTGAAACAGCATGCATTTATCATCTTAACATTTCTCTGAGTCAGAATTCTGGGCATATCATAGCTCAGCTGATTCCTCTGCTCCAGGTCTGTCATGACTGAAATCAAGGTGTCAGTTACCTGGTAATACTTTCTAGAGACTTGAGGATAAATCTGTTTTGGGGATTTTTCAGTTTTTTTTAATTGACACACAATAATGGCACACACTTATGGGGTATAGTGTGATATTTGAATACCTGTGTATATAATGCGTAATGATCACATAGAGTAATTAGCATATTTATCTCCTATAACATTTATCATTTATTTGTGTCAAGAATATTCAAAATTTTTCCTTCTAGTTATTTGAAAATATAAAATGAATAACAATAGTCTGTACAGTGCTACGGAATACCATCAAGCTGTAATTTTGTATGCATTCACCAACTTCTCTATCATATCCCCAACCTTTTACCCTTTCCCACCTCTAGTTACCTCTTTTCTATTCTCTACTTGTATGAGATAAGCTTATTTAACTTCCTTGTATGAGTGAAAATATATGATATTCATCTGACTGAATTCACTTAACAAAATGTCCTCCAGTTCTATCCTTGTAGCTGTAAATGGCAGTATTCCATTCTTTTTTAATTGCTGAATAGTATTCCATTGGGTATATATGCCACATTTTCTTTATTCATTCATCCATTGGTGGACACTTACATTGATTTCATATCTTGGTTTTTGTAGATAATATTTTTGCAACAAAAATAAAGATGTAGATATCTCTTCAACATACTGATTTCCTTTCCTTTGAATATACACCTCGTAGCAGAATTGCTGAAACGTATATTAGTTCTTTTTTTAGTTTTTTGGGGAATCTCCATACTGCTTTCTATAGTGGCTATACTAATTTACAGTCCCACAAACAGTATATAGGGGCTCCATTTTTCCTAGCAATTTTGTTGTCTTTTTAATTATACTCATCCTGACTGAGGCATTCCATTTTTATAAGGTTCAGTTCCATTTTTGTGGTTTTAGAAATGAGACCCTTATTTCCTTGGCAGCTGTCAGTGGAATCACAGTGTTTTGAGAATCTGTCTGCATTCTCTGCTGTTTATTTCCTTCATCTCTAAAATGAGTAATGTTGTGTTGAGTTCTACTCATGCTTGGTGCCACTCTGAGCTTTCATTATAACTCATCTTTCCTGAATTTGAAGCCTTCTTTTTCAGTCATATCTCATTCACTGTAGGAAAAGAAAATAATAGATAATAAAAAGAAAAAATAGCATAGTAAAAGAAAATAACAAACAAATTCCTATGCCAATTTGCATTTCTACCTAGAATTAAAAGGACAGTATTTTACCACTTTCTATGATAAGACTTCTTAATAGCATCTTATTATGGTTTGTTATTATTTATTAATAGGACTGAGCATATCCAGTGGCTTTTAGGGGGTCGTTTGTATTTCCTTTTCTGTGAAAACTTGCTCATGGTTTCCCTCCAAAAGCTGAATGACTGTTTGTATGAATCTGTTGTATCTTATGAATACTAAATATTTTAGAGTTACAAATGTTAAAAATACCTGGTCTTCTTTCATTTCTTTTTGGTAACTTCTGATGAAGAAGATACTCCATTTTAATGTAGTATCAGATATAAATATTTTCCTTTGGACTTTTTGCTTTTCTCAACCTGTTTAACAAATTTTCCCAACCCTGTGGCCATAAAAATATTTTCTGATAGTTCATTCTAAATGTTTTGAAATTCTGCTTTTCAAATTTATGTGATGCTTTTAGATAAAACTACATCTAGAATGATCAAAATTGATGTTTGTTTGTTTTTTATTTACAAGTTTAGAAGTAATAAACTGTTTCTAGAATTTGTGGAATGCATATTTCATTGCCAGATTTAATACATAACCCATATGACATTAGTGTATGGCTATGATATGAAGAGAGGTTTCAGGTATATTGTTTTTAATATAGAAAAAAATTGTTACAATATATTGATGTGTCTTTGTTTATGTATTTATACCCCTGCTGTCTTTGCCACGTTAGGCTTCCATATTTGAGTGTATCTCTTTTTTTTCACATTTTTACTTTCATCTACTTTATCATCTTTACCTGAACACTCCATGTCTCCATTACTAACATTCCATAATGAGTTTTGACTATTATGATGAATTCTCCAATCATATTCTTCATTTTTGTTTTGTTTTGTTTTGAGTCAGAGTCTCACTCTGTCACCTAGGTTGCAAAGCAGTGACATGATCACAGTTCACTGCAGCCTTGAACTTATGGGCTCAAGCCATCCTTCTATGTCAGCCTACCAATTAGCTGGCACTACAGGCATGCACCTCCACGCCTGGCTTTTTGTTGATGTTGCTGTTATTTTGTAGAGATGAGGTCTTGCTGTCTCCCAAGCTGGTCTTGAACTCCCAGGCTCAAGCAATCTTTTCACCTAGACCCTTCAAATCACTTGGATTATAGGCATGCGCCACTGGGGCTAGCCTAATCTTATATTTCTTCATAAGTCCAAAGCTTTTCTTAACCCTTTCTTTTTCATATAATATCGTCATTATCTGGTTCATTGCCTTCAAAAAAATTTGTTAGAATTATGATTAAAATTGCATCCACCTATGGATTATTTAGGGAGAAAATAAAATCTTTATGACAGAGATGACTAACATACATACCCGTGATCTATCTCTTCATTTATTTGAGTAATTTTTCTAACGGAGGCTTTAAAAAAGTTTCCTTGGAACTTTCCAGAAGGTAAACTGTCTTTGAAATCAGAATGTGATTAGTCTTAGACAAATTAACCCTTCCACTTTCACTAAATTTTTAAATTATTTTTAAAAAGTCATTACTTATGTAATTCTGATGTTTATAATCGTTATATGATAGAAACAGTTTAAAATGTATTAAGATTTACTTTATGCTGTAATATATGGGCAATTTGCATAAGTATTTCATTTTTAAAATGTGTTCTCTGATATTAGGATTCAATTTTAAGTAGGCTATTTTGCCAACTTTGCTAATTGTGCTATTTAAATATTTTATATTTCTATTTTTTTCTGACTATCTATAAATTCCTATGAGAACTGTATTAAGACATCTCAGTGAGTATATTTCTCTATTCAATTTTTTGCTATCTTTTTCTTTATAAA